GGCCGTTTCTTTTGAACAGATTGCTTGAAGAGCTCAATTGTGCTGAGCTAATGCATAACAAACAGATGGAGCTGAATGCAATCACTCCAGAGTGCCGTTTCTATCTCCTTCTCCCTCATACACACAGAAATAAATCTAAATGATGGTTCCTGGCATCAGAGCTGCGACGCAGGCAGAGAAACACTGCAGAGTAACACAGTTATCATATGGCTCCGAATCACAGATCTGCCCAAATGAAGGTAAATTAATTCACATCATTTTGCTGCACTCCTCTGAAGAGTTGATGGATACAGTTGCCGTGACAACCTGGTAACAGTGAAACACAGGTGCCCGCTGGCGATGACCAGTATTTATGGCAGGAGGGGCAGACAGCGGCGGTGTCATCTTTCTAAGTTTGTCAAGGCTATAAAAAGCAGCAGTGCTGGAATGAGCCGGACCAGCTGACAACCTGCAGAGAGCAGATTAGAGTCTGCAGCTCATTAATACACGCTCACAGATTCAGAATCACATTCCCTACAGAACTGACCTGATAAGTCAGAGGCCTCGATCACGGTGTTCTTAGGCATCAAACCTGTTTCCTCTCACTCTAACAGAGAGGAAACCTGCTGCTTTCTGTGTGCACACTGCAGGTTGTGTACGCTCAAAGCTCTCAGTAATCATGACTCTTATTCCTGAGCTCAGCTTGACTTGTCCTGGTCAGTACAATAGGAAAGCAGCAACAAAACCATGCAACGGGCCTCAAGCAAGAACCAGCACAACAGATTTGTTCTGAAGTGGCACGTATGACAGATAGAGACTGGCGTTCACCAGTTTTCTCAGCCAGAAATTTCTCTTAGACAAAATTCATGAGTCATTCCATTTCTTTCTACACCAGAGCACGCTGGTTTGACTTGGCTTCAACTGGAGGCGTTTAAATGTGATACCAAAATCAACTGGAACCTCAGTGCTGAACTGTCATTTTGTTCACCATCACCATCATGGCTGCCAGGTTACTGAGCGCTGTTTTAGACAGGA